AGAGAGCAAGTGAGATCACAAGCAGGGGGAGCAGCAGGCAGAGGGAAAGGGAGAAGCAGTCTTCATGTGGAGCAGGGAGCCCAATGCAGGGTTCAACGTCGGTCTCCATCCCAGGATCCTGGGATCATGACCTGAGCTGAAGACAGACGCTCAACCGACTGAGTCACCCAGGCGCCCCAGGAAAACATTTTAAATATAAGGTAGACCACACGATGAATTTCCAGAAAAGGGTAAAGTACCAAGATGTACTTAAGAAACAGAACCCTGAACGGAGCAAGAACACGAGGAAGTAAAAAAACTGAAAAAATCACCTTGCAGAAGAGTCAATGTCAATAAGCAGATAATTCTCACAATATATAAACTATTCTAAATCAAGCATGAGATAGTTTCCCAGTTTATTTGGTAAAGCTATCAAAACCTGTTAATCAAAACCAGACTTGTCTCTTATGCATAAATACGAAATCCTAAATACAGGGTTAGTCAATAGAATACAGCAGCATTTTAAATGAGCGGCTCAGTATTAGATTCTACTAACGTAGTTTGTTTCTATTATCAGTAGCTCAAAGGAGAAAATCTATATAACGGTAGACATTGAAAAGTCATTTGAAAAAAAATTAATGTCTGCTCCTAATAAATGGGCTTCATGCATATTCTTAATATTCTGTTTCTAATCCGTACTTAAAATTACACACAGGAGTGAAATACTAAAAACTGGATATTCATAAAATCAGAAACAAGAATATTCATTATCATATTCAATCAACTGAAAATTATTAAAAATCATAATAAAAGTTAATGTGGCCCGGGGCCCCTGGGTGGCTCAGTGGATTAAGCCTCTGCCTTCGGCTCAGGTCAAGATCTCAGGGTCCTGGGATCGAGCCCCATATCAGGCTCTCTGCTCAGCAGGGAGCCTTCCCCCTCTCTTTTTCTGCCTGCCTCTCTGCCTGCTTGTGATCTCTCTCTGTGTCAAATAAATAAATAAAATTAAAAAAAAAAAAAGTTAATGTGGACAGTGTTTTAAAAGCCCACATGACACCTTTCTGATTTATGCAGTGCCCAGTTTAAAATATTACTGTACTTATATAGTAAGAGTCAACAAAATTTCCAAAGTCAAGTTTTTTCAAAAATATTTTTTTGGAAACTTATTAAAAAAAGCAACATGTCAGAACTATGGTAAAGAAAATTTTGGAACTTTTAAGGAGGAACATGCAAAAAAACCCAATTCTGTGCTCTCAACAGAAAGACTTCTAAGTAAATTAAATTTAAACACTTAATGTTTCCAATTACGATCCTAAGAGGATACCATTGGAAAAGTGATCAAAATGATTCTGATAGTCACAGGGAAAAATAAACAGGCCAGAATAGAAACCTTTGAAAAAGGGACACTTATGTTCCCTCCTACAACAGTATTACTGTCTGCAATGTACTACCCATTGTTCTAAGAATTGAAAATACAGTGATAAAAACACTACAATGTCAGATGCATAATTTATAAAGATATGATCCAAGCAAACTTGTAACAAAAGAAGTCAGGGTGTAATGTAACTGAAAGCCCAGAAACAGACCCCAAAAATACATAGCTGGTATTTACAAACTAGGACTAGGATGTACGGTTCACCAAGGCTGTTTGTATAACTTACATATGTCTTCCAAACATTTAAAGCCAAACAGGAACATTACAAATCAACAGAAGGCCCCCAAAGAAAGCAACAAAGTTGGACCCTTACCTCACAACATCTAATCGATTAAATTCTAAAATGGTTTAGCACTAAAGGGCTAGAGAAGTAAAACAAAACTTGGGTGAAAATTAAAATCATCTTGGAGAAAGCTTTTCTAAGGAGAAACCATAGGAACAGAGTAGAACTGACTACATATATATGTAACTGTTAAATTTTCCTACATCAAAACACACCATACAGTATTTTTAAAGTTATAGTTTCCATAAGGCTCTCTTTCTTATACAAAGAGCTCTTCAAAGAGACAAAAACCTAAAAATTAAACATGTGAATAGTTAATAAAAGATAGCCGGCTGACATGAAATAATAATGAATTTCATTAGCAATCAAAGAAATACAAATTAAGATGATCTGTCACTTGCCCAAATGGCAGCTTTAAAAGTTTTAACAGAGTTGAAGGAAGAGTGATAGGAATGAATGCAAAACTTACAGACATTTCCTGGGCAATTTGGGTTCAGCAGAGGTTTAGAAGGACACTCCTTGCACCAGCAATGCCAAGGAAATCATGGGTATTGTGTATTTACGCAGATTTTTAGCACACTGTCATTTTTAACAGAAAAGTTAGAAATAGTTTGTGTCCAGCAATGAGGAAATTTTAGGTTATGGTTCGTCTATAAAGGAATAATTGACAACCATCAAAAAGAAGGTAGAATGTAATTATTGACAGAGAAGGATGTTCACAATGTATTATTAAATGAAAAACCTAAACCACAAACTTATGGGCAATACAAACCCATTTGTTGTAAGAAGAGTAGATGCTCATTTATATACATCCTTCAAGGCTAAATATTAATGGTTATGACTGGATGTGTTCCTACATTTTCGGATGTGTACCAGGCTAAAAAGGGAAAAATAAGTGTTCTTATCCAACTGAGCCGCCCAGGCGCCCTGGGAATTCAGTGTTCTGGGTTTTTTAAGCTTTGTCCCTACAACATGGCACAATGGATATAACAAGTTCCTCTTTGTCAGACGAGATTGTTCCTGAAAGTCTGTTCTGGGTATAAGCAAGAATAAAACAAGCTAAAAATGGCCTGGAATTCTTATGGCAGTTTATTTACAGACTATCATATACAGCCTTTTTTTTTTTTTTAAACAAATGGCTTATATTAAACACATCAGATTTCACAGTTACAAGACTTTACTAAAAGTTCTTGCAAGAAAGCACAACACCTTTACAACAAACTGTAAAAAAAAAAAAAATCAAAGGGTGATTCATTTACAGGGCCTCATTCTGAATGCAATTAGAACTAAAAATTCTTTTTTAATAGGACATTTGACATGGTGAAAGGAATAAGACCCACAAAACTTGTTAGTCTACATAATTCAAAGGACAAGTTTTTTTCCATTATGGTCAATATTCTGTTTTCTCCATCTTCAACCGGATCACTTGATAGCTTATTAATTTGTTCTTAATAGCTTTTATTTTTAATTAAACTAAAAACACTTTTAAGAAATTATCTGAAGAGGCTTTGGTAAATGAGAAACTGTTGCTCTCTCCTAACACCGCTGGGAATTATAAAACCTTGAAAGAATTTAAAAGCAATGTTTACAGAGGACTGCTGATTTTCCGCCTACAAACAGAAAACAGATTTAAATGAAAGATTTTGTCTTACTACCGAATTGTCAGATTTTAAATAACTACTGTCTTTAAAAAAGAAAAAAAAAAAGAGGAACCTCCTTTTTAAAACCTAGCCATTCTGCTATAGGCTTCTAGTTTTCTATTTCTCTATTTTTTGTTTTTAAAGTTGACTTTTTGAAGCCATTTGTGTTAAACTCATTGTTCAGTTTATAAATTTAATTATTTTAGACACTGGTAACTATTTTAAGTCCATTTTCTTGTTAAAAAGTTAAGTGTTTCCTGCAGAATTTAGATAAGGCTTAGAGGGACAGCCCAGGCAACCCATCTCTGAATCTTTTTCTTAGCTATATAAAGCAAGGGGACGTATCGTATGCTACTAGATTATTAGAACATATGTTTCTGACTTGAAAAGTACCCAAACCAGTATCCCTGAGGATCAGTAGATCTCCATTCAGAACTTGTATTTCAGGTTTACTTAAAAAAAAAAAAAAAGAAAGAAAGAAAGTAAAAAGGACCTATGGTGGAAAGTTGCGTAAGATTGGACTGTGCTCCCAGCAAACACAGCAAAACTTTTGACTCACAAGTTCCTGTGAGTAGTTTGGAAGCATTTAACCCATTTCACCTTCCACCTTTCTTAAGAAATCCTGATCTTTTCTGCAGATTGGCTTTTTACAAACTGGCCAGATGCAAGTTAAAAAATTTGTTTTCATGATAGAGTTTCCAGTTGTTCTATTTCTTTCTGGAATGTTATTTCTCTATTCCAATTTGACTGTAAAATTTCACGCTCACATTGTCATCTCTTACATTCACTTACGTATAATTTAGATAAAGCTGAGTAACCTGTCAGCCCACCACAAGTATGACTTAATGCCCTTCGCGGTTACTGACATACCAAGTACTCGACTGTACTGACGCGTCCCAAGTGCTTGGCACTGGGCAGGCGCTGACTGTATGTTCCCTGACAGAACGAAGCCCTGAATCACAGCTAGAGCATGATCCTAATTCATATTCCCCCAAACCATTTTCATCAATCACCCCTTACAGTGAGTCTCTGAAAATTTCATGGGTGACCACAAGTCTCCAACAAATAGGAGACTTGAGTTGCATTCAGGAACTGCCTGGGTCAGGAGACACAAAAGGGAACTTCCCAGGGGAGACAGTAAAATGTCTTGTTTTGGTAGGTCAGCCTTTTGAGCCTTCAACTTTCAACTTTATAGTTGCCATCTGACTTACCTGTGTCTGTCCCCAAAACTTAAGTAATGTATTATGTTCCTGAGATTTCACTCAGGAATCCTCAGGGATTACGGTAATTGTAATTTGGAATTAGTGACTTCCATCCCTGTTCTTTTTATGAAACCAAATTTGCTCAAGTATTCAATGGTACGGAAGGGATGCATGAAGATTTTTACTACCGTATTTCATCGATTCCTCTGTAGACTAACATCTCTGAATTTGGGAAGTGTCTTCTAATTCATGCATCTTAGCACGGTGTCATCTAATTGGCAACAGTTTTTTTCTAAGTGGTACGTAAAATATTGGTATGTCTCACAATTAACGATGTCTTAGGGTAATATTAGAAGCTGTAGTTCAAATTTCCAATTTCAATCAGCAGTTTCCCTGTCCTCCCAGCCACTCACCCAACATAAATACATAACTGAAATGTTGGAAGAACTATCCAAACACAGTTCAATTTTATATAAAATATTTAATTTTTAAAACACAGGCTATTCATGTCACATAAATATCTTCAATTTTAGGTTAGCTGCTATGGTCAGCAGAATTATCGAGTGTGACTATTAAGAATAACTTAGATACTGTTACTTATAGGAAAGTCTAAAGCGCTAAGACTCACCATATTAAAATTTCAGATACTTGAATACTGTAGCTATTTTGCTAAATTTCAAAATATTTCTTCACTTCCTGCAATGTAGTTTTATTATAAGTTGTTAGTACGCAATATTCAAATAAAAGCAAAATAATTCTTCTTCCATTCATTTCTCCCCAACAAAAAAAAAGTTCCATTGAAAAAATAAAATGATCAACTGACATCAACTCATTTTATAGCAGTAAAATGGTAAAATATCCACTTTAAAATATCCTTACTGTCACCAAACTATAATGTTTCCCATATACTGTTTTGAAATGAAGGGTCACAAGTCAGATAGAGGGCGTGGGGGTAAAAAGACTGAGTTTAGAACTGGAGCAATTTCCATTCTAAAACAGTTCTTTCAATTTACAATTCCAATGAAAAAGTAAGTTACCAGGAGAACAGTTAAAACAAAATGGCTAATTGGCACAACTCTCATTTCCAGAGTTTATTTTTCCATTTAGTGATAACGGAAACACTGGTTCTTCACCTTTGGTTCCTTTCGAGAATTATTATAATTCTATGTGCGCGTGAGCGTGCACAAAAAGTTAGTCAGACTTGACACCATTACGGCTTACACAAGGGTTAGTCTGTCATTCTTTGTTGCTTTTAAAAAAAGAAAAAAATGTTAAAAATGAACTAAAGTTGCTCTAAGTCTGGCAGAAGTCGTAATAAACCTCACAGAAGGTAAGAGGAGGGAAGATAAGAGGTTGCCTCTCACTACTTTTTCTTTTTAGCATCGGTAAATTCAATCTAGGCAATGTTTCTGGTTAACAAACTGAACAGTTAATTTTTTCTTAAAATGGCAATTGCATAACTTAAGATATATGATGTTTACCACCCTCCCCCCTCCCCCATAAACTTTAACAGAATCAGGGAAATTCTGTTTCTGAAGCCTTGCGTCTACACTACTGCCTTCCAATGATCCATGACAAAAGGAAACAGGGACAGTATGGCAGCCCGGAAAAAAATGGTGCTCGGAAATTCTCATTTAGCTATTACTTTCAACCATTTAAATGACATAAGTTTGTAGAACTTCTTGGAAGTAACGAGGTCCTGACTGGAGTTCTAGTCCCTTTCTTTGCTCTCACTCTCCCATCAAGACGAGGTGATAGTGGAAGGTAACACAGCCCAACGGCAGGCAGGAAAGAAGAAAGTGGGACAGGCAAAGAGGCAATGGATCTAGCAGGAACTGACAGGCAGCCCCGAAAACACTGGAGAGCTCCCTGCCTCTTCAATACAGTGTATTGATTCCCTTTAGACAAATGGGTGTAAAGGTTAACTGCTTTTTCAGACCTTAAGCTTACCTGTTAAGGCACTTACTTACCCTCCCCACCCCATATTTTTCATATAAAACCCACTATTTCATTTGAATGCATTTTGCTCGGCTATGATAATCTGCAAAATAAAACAAAAATAACGTTGACCATTTTTTTTTTTTTTTATAAAACTGTTGCATCAAGAGAAAGGTTGTGTTTTATTTTCTGAAGTGAGCACAAAGTACACCTTTCACAATAACACTGAAAGCAGGTGCAAAGACTGACAGTGACCTTTGACTAAAGGTAGCTTTGTAAAAAGAAAATACCAAATAAATCAGTGCCCTTTCTGATTGTTGTAAAACTGAGGGGAGCGAGGGGGGGGGGTTGGTTGGTTGTTACATAAAAGTTGGTCCAAACTTACAAAAAAAGCACAAATGTGCATAGTTCAGAAGATCTGCAAGAGGGCCATAAAAGACTCTTATGTCCCTAAGATTAGCATCCACTTAAAACTGCAAGAATACAAAATAAAACTGTTAACTAGAATTTGTGAAGATGTACAATCAACAGATCTAGTTTTTAGAACAGCATGAATTTAAGCAAAGGTTTTTTTTTTCTTTTTCTTTTTTAACTATTGTATGCAAGACCCTTTTCCACATAAAAATAAAGCTGTTGTTGAATTAATATTATTCAAGTCTCTTGGATTGCTGCCTTAAACTGCAGCTAGAAAAGTCTTTCCAGATAAAAATGATGTGCCTGAGGAAAAACAGATACTCAGTATGGTAACCCTCTGCCTCGACCTCTGGCCGCTGGTGTGCTGATGTGTCCCCTGTATCCTTGTGAATATCCGGGTCCTTGGGCAGGAGAAGTCCAGGTCTGCCCGTGCATGAGGCCGGGGCCGCCCGGGTTTTCCTGTAAGTTACCGCCATAGTTATAGTTGTGCATCTTTGCTGGCAAAGGATGAGTACTCTCTGGCCCTGCGGGAGGGTCACTGCTGTTGGCCAGGACCGCAATGGGGCCATGGCTATATTCAAACCTGTGGTCCTTGTCTCCGCTAAACAACATGGGACCGGTATTGAGGTAAATGTCTCCATAGCCAGCTACTGAACTGGGAAAGGACTCGGAAAAGGCTGAAGGCTGAGGCGGACCGCCAGAATGAGATGAAGCAGTACTGTAGTTATCCAAAGCCGGAATATCCGAGTTTCCAAGGAAGCTCCGTCGTTCCAGTGTCGGAGCGGAGCTACCTCCCAGCCCGTCACTGCTAACGTAGGGAGCGGAAGAGAAAGAGGAGGATCCAAAATTGTCCTTGAAGTCGGAAGTGGGTACGTAAGTGTCTCCTGCCTGGTAATCAACACCACTTTCTCTTTTGGGGTCATCCTGGGGCTGATGCTGGGCGAGCAGCTGTAACAGGGCAGCTTTCACTCCGGCGTGAGGGTCAGTTAACGCAGAGCTAGTGGTGGGAACATGCTGGTTTTCTGTCCGATAATCCAGATCTTCTTCGGTGACTGGTGGTGGTTCAGGGGGCTCGGGAGGTCGCTGATCAGGAGGCAGAATACGAGGCCGGTCTGGTTCTGGTGTGAGCTCCAACATCCTCATATCTTGATGCTGAATGAGGTCATCTTGCCCTAAGTGACGCAAAGCAAAAAAAGAGAGAAGTTATCATGGAAAACTAGAAGTTCCAAATAGTCCATGTTTCCTATGGGTGGTTGTAATGAACATTAGAAGTTCCATCTCTGGAGAAAGGAAAAAAAAAAAAAAGAGAGAAAGGAAGGAAGGAAAGAAGGAAAAAAGGAAGGTAAGGGAAGGGAAAGCAAAAGAAGGGAAAAGGGATGGAAGTACTAATCTGCGGGCTACCACTTAAGTCTATGGTGACTGAAAAATTTAATTGCATTTGACTTCTCAAGGGTATCTCACAGCTACCTATTTATCGCTTGAAGAACAAAGGCTCCTATACATAGAGTCTCTGCCTTGGTCAGTATCGTCTTGTAGTTGGAGGAAAGACTATTTCTCAACTACAGGTCTACATGAGAAAACTCTACGGCATTCGTAATGAGCCACGTCACACATGGAGAATTTGTTAAAGAAGCTGCTCCTAGAAATAAACGACTAAGGAGACAACCTATCACCGGTGACCTGGGATTTCTCCGAACCCGTCCGCCGGCGATGCCACCGGACACTCTGCGTCACCGCTGCCCCCCAACACCACGCACGCGGCGTGGGTGGCGGCGTGTTAGAGGTCGGCCATCTGCACACTCACCGGACGCCGGGGTACTAGGTTCTGGAGGTGGCCTGAGTTGTAACGATGCTTCGTGTCCTGATCCATTTTCCCTCTCTTCTAGCAGCACATCCTTCTGCTTTGACTGCTGGGCCTTTATTAACTGAGTCAGCAGAACCGCAAACGCGCTCTGCACGGCCGCCTGCGCAGCGTCGGTCTCCACTTTAGGCTGCACGCTCTGAGATGAAGGCTGAATTCCTCCCAGCGGTTTCGAAGACTCCTGCTGTGGTGTGGATGGATCTGTCTGTTTTTCACCTGTTGCCAAAATTCCAGCAGGAAGGTTTATTTTATTTAGCTGCTGTTGAGTCTCAGAGTTTACCTTAATGTTCAACACTTGGACAAAATCAGCCATATTAACACTTGTTTTAGACTGCAGTAGATTTAGGAGAATTGCCAATTCACTGTGGTTTAACTGCTGTCCAGGGCCTGTTTTTACTAAAGACAAAATTTGTATTAATTAGCATTGCCGTAATTCATAGCACACCCCGCCCCCCAAAATGGCCCTGTGTGACCATATTCAAATGTACATTTGTGGGACAGTGTTAAAGAAACGCTGTGAAAAAGGCATCTCAGTCTAGTTCTAATTTCATGGACGTTTAAGATGGAACTGCTCTGAAGTTAAAACAACTGAAACTGTGGCCCATTCTTCAGGGGGAAATACTTCAAAAAGGAAATATGAGACTATGGCTGGAAGCCCATCCCCTACAGAGAAGCAGGAACCAGGAAAGCGGAGGAGGAGGACACCTACAGAGTCAGCGTTCTCTAAGCATTTCACATCCTTTACTCCTCACCACAACCTTAAAGCCATGATCTGTTATTAGTATGCGCCGCCCCCCTTTTTTTTTAACTGAAGAAACTGACCTCCCGGACACTAACTCACATGCCCAAAGTCACACACTCTAAGTGTCTGAGCTGAGGTGAGAACCTGGGTGCTCTGATTCCAGACTCGGAGCTCTACTCACTGTACTGCTCGTCTAAAATAATGCTTTTTATATCTAAGGACTGCACCTTATTTTTGCAGTAAATTCACACTGGGATGTTGTAGACTCTTTCATAAATATATTTTATTCAAATTACCATTTTTTAAGTTAACTCACTTTGGGAAGTTCGGACCTCCTACAGAAACATGCTTATGATGTGGACACAAGAGGGTTTTAGCTCAGCACCAGCAAAACACTTGTTTTTCTAGAATTTTCCGTTTAGACTTGTGATGGTTACACAGGTTCTTGTGCAAGCCTCTGTGAGTCACATGGAACAAGGCTCGAGGGTATATACTACTATGGAAGCTCAGTGATAACTACATCGATAAGCAATTTCTCTAAGAATAAAAGGCAAATAGAAGAGAGACTTCAAGAAGATGAAACACTGATGATTAAGGCTATCCTTTTATTTTCTCTCTTTATATATCTTGAGATACTTTTATTACTTCTTAGTTATTTTTAGGTTAACTTGAAACAACCTTTTGCAAATTCTTCTCGTGACCTGCAGGCATTAATAAGTAAGGAGCCAAGCTTGTTTGCTGTGGCGCTAAGAACCAGTTTCCCTCATTCTCCAGTTCATGTCTCTTCAGAGGTTCTGTAATGATGCTCTCTCCTCTACAGAAAGGGCATTTTCTTATTTTAAGACAGCTGATGATGACAAAAATGGAGCACAGAGGATTCATTTCTATTTCACAAAACCAGAATTCTCACTTAACAGTGACAGTTATAAAAGGGGGGGGGGACAAAAAATGAAACGCTGACCAACAAGTAACAACTGGTTTTGGTTTGTAATGTAACCTGTATCAGCGCTTTAATGTAGTCTGACCAAGGTCAAGTATAAGCTTGCAGCTTACATGGGAAAGCATTAAAGGTAATCTTTCTCAGGCTTTCTCAGCTAATCTACTCTCTATTTATACTCCACCACCAAAAGTTGAATCTGATCAGATCTGTTTTTATCAACCAACTGACCTTTAAATCTAAATGACAGAATGAGTTTAATAAGATTTCCAACCACACTGAAAAGGTTTCATTCTCAGGAAGAAGCTGACTCTTCAAACAACTGAGTCAGAGGAAGAAATCTGTTTCCCCCAAAAAGCCTTCTTCATCATACATCAAGTCCTTTCTGGCACAACAGGAGAGTCCAATCTTTGAGATTCTAGAATATAATGGGACGTATATTAAGAGTGATTTGTGGACATTATAAACCATATAAAAGAGCTTCTTTTAGGAATTTGGCTGTTTCCCTGCATCTGTCTACGACCTCCCGCACTAGGGCAGACAGGAAGTCAGGAAACCTGACTGCTCACTGATCGCTCTCTGCCGAGTCCATCTTAACCCACGGTGGCTTCCTACTGCGGCACCGGGGTGGGGGGCAGTGCGGCATCTGCGCAGGCAATTCCCAGGGAAGTGTCGAGTGCGGGGAATAAACCTGAATGTTTCGGCCACAGATGCTTACACTAGAGCAGTCTCATCACCGTGAGGCCAGAACAAGGGAAGAACACCGACCACCGCGCAAAGCACTACTGACCAGGTGCGAGACTCGAGTTGGCCTGAGGTTTCAGCTGTGAAGATGGCAGCGCGCCCTGCGGGGTGCTGGCCCTGCTGTCGTCGAAGCCGAGAGACAAGTCCTTCCTGGGGGCTTTCACTGTGGACACATCATCAGTCATGCCCATCTGCTTCTGTCGTCTTCGCTTCTTACTCCACAGCTCATGACAATCTTGCCATAAAGGAAGGCTGGAAAAAAAGTATCCATTGTGTGCAATGTTACTTCTTAACAACACCCCAAAACTGCTAACAGTCACTACAGAGCAGCTCCCCACCCCCTCATCCCGCCAGTCGTTCCTGAAGACTGCAGACACATGCTGTATGACTCCTCAGTAAAAATCAGCCTTGACGCCCGCCCCCCAACTTCAGGGCTTCACCTCTACAGCCAGACTATTTTTCTGTGACTTCTGAATAATCAGTAAATAATCATTTAGTAAAACTATGTACGAAGAACACAAGTTCATAAAAGTATGTTACTATCATCCTTGGTGCAACCTTTTAAAGCCAGTTCTTCTCACAGTCCACCACACATTGAACAAGACATGGGAAAAAAGGGAAAAAAATGCCATTTGCAGAAAATGGAAACAGGATTAAAAAGTAGTAAAAGCTAGGAAATAACGTCTGTGAAAAACTTCCTAGTAAAAGCGTCTTACTTTTTTAATGCCCTCTTATTTACTTCCATAATGAAGTGCTCTAAAATTAAACTATGCTACAGAGAAGTTTCAAAAATAGGTAATCCAGGCTCATGACTACCCATCAACAAAGAGTTCTGAAAAACTAGCAACTATCAAAATTACCCACAATTCTGAAACAATTCTGCCTTAATGTGATTTCATAAAACTGACAACACTATAGAGTAACTTTTGCTTAAAGACATAAATGTTTGATTTATAAGTTCATTTCTTATCCTAATAAAAATTCCAATGGGAAGTTACTATTATATCTATTTTAAAGATGAGAAAATTGAGGCTTGGAAAGGTTAATAAACTTGCCCAGAATAACTACAAATGCCCTTACACAGCCCCAACCTGGTGATAGATCTGCCATCTTTAACCTGGATATGTTTCCCTCTAGGGATGCTCTCCAAGGGGTACACCTGAAACTGCTGTAAAATAATTCGCATCTCTCTTTGTCCTCTTTCCTGACTTCGGTCCTTGAGAGTGGCCTGCACAGCAAGCTCATTCACACCTCCTCTTCCAGTTACTCTCACCTCAAGTTATAAAGTAAGGGCATATGCAACAATATGGTCCAATCTTAGCAATATAATATTAAGTAAAAAAAGTCATTCCCAAAAGATTACAAACAGCATGACACCCTTTTAATAAGTTTTTAATAAAATTAAAAACAACTAAAATTTTTAAATATAACTTTTTATGAATACATATAGATGGCAACAAAAGTATATACAAAAGAAAACAGGGATGATGGTTACCTCAGGTGGAGGGAGGCAAGGGGATAGGTCGTAGGGCAGGGGGTGGGGAGAGGGGATGATATGACTAACGGAGGTTATTGTCAAGGTTCTAGCTTTTATTTGGTAGGTTCATGGCTGCTTATTAAAATCATTTAAAATAACTAAGTAACTAAAAGAAAAAAAAGAGAGCCATGCATGGACCAATGATGAGTGACACAAGGATTATGATTAAACCAAGTCTATGCACCTGAGGTCCAAAAACAAAACAAAGGCATACCTCTCAGCCATCTTACTATGGTGCATTGCCTCAGCGTGTAAAAACCTCCTGGAGTAACAAACAAAGGTACAATTTGAAATATTGATATTGGGAAGCTTTAAGGCATCATAAACCCGCCGAAGACTTTCCTTTCTGTGCGCTGTGCGTGTGCATGTATCTTAAGATGTGTGGCCTTAGTCCCTGGTGGGATATTCTGAATTCAGATACACTGCGGAGTAGGGAAACCGGAGTGACTTCACTTCCCGGCTCTTGCGGCAAAACCCCATGAGAGGAAAGCAAGCAGAGAACTCCACTAACAAGGGCTTTGGTTCCCTCCCACAGTTTAAAGCCAAGAGCTTCCTCTATGGATTATCTCAGGACTCATCTCTAGGAAAGATAAGCAATACCGACAAGCAGCTGAAACCGACAGGTTAGTGACGCTGACTCTGGATTCACCAGCAATGTTTTCCAGGATGACCAAATTGTTATTCGCTTTTCTGAAGGTTCAAATACTGGCTCAGCCACTTACTTATTGTGTCTCATCAGGCAAGTAACTTGACCTCTGTGCCTCAGTTTCCTTATCTTTAAAAATGAGATTAGCAATACAATCTACCTTATGGGGTAGAGGTAATACATGTTAACATACGCAGGCGCTGGACAGTGCCTCTCACACAGCAGGCACTATATTCATGTCTGATGCCATTTACCACCATTCAACACGACAGCTGAAAACTACTTTAATCAAATCACATCATGAAATATTTATTCCCATTACAGTTGATCACATTTTATCTTAGAAATTGTTCGGTGCTTTTTACTTGCTGTTAAGAAAAAATAAAATTATAGGCTAGCTGTCACTCTAATTCACTTTTTAGCAGTAAATGCCTTCTTTTCGTTAAATCAGAAAAATATTACACCACGTCTCATACAATTAATGTAGTTGTTTTGGTTTTTTAATATCCCATGCTCATTTGATTATTCCAAAAAAATGACACGAGTTTAATACATACACAGAGCTCCCAAAGGAATACCACGCCAATGCTTTTCTTCACAGTCCTCACCTCACAGATAATTGATCATTTTAACTACCTATTACGTATTACAAAATAATGAGATGCTTATATAACTCTTAATTTATATATTAAATCCATAGCATTATAATTTCAACCTGACTGCTTTAGTGATATATCCCTAATTTATTACTGGGTTACAGCCTCTTCACCAAAATGTGTATTAACATCCTTATTTTTAATGGAGAAATGCAGTCAGTTGTGTTCCAATAAAAACTGAGTGAACTTAGGTGATGTGTTTGACAATACGAAGAGAGTTTCCAATTAGGTTACGTGGCAAGCGTTTCCCATTAATGGGATGTATCTACAGTTCCAAGGTTTCCACAAAAACATGTAATAAGAAAAACAATCTAACATACGGACTGGCCAAGTTGTACCGACATTACATGTTGACTTCCTAAACTTTTCTACGTATACTAGATGAAACAAGCACTAATAAAAGAAAAAGTACCAAGTGTAAAAAGTCATTTAGGGGCACCTGGATGACTCAGTTGGTTAAGCGACCAACTCTTGACTTAGGCTCAGGTAATGATCTCAGGGTTGAGGGATTTGAGCCCCATGTTCGGGACTGCACTGGGTGTGGAACCTGCCTAAGATTCTCTCTCCCGGGTGCCTGGGTGGCTCAGCTGGTTAAACGGCTGCCTTTGGCTCCAAGGTCATGATCCCCAGGTCTGGGATTTCTCTCTCGCAAATAAACAAAAATCTTTAATAAAAAAAATTCTCTCTCTCCCTCTTCCTCTGCCCTCGCCAGCCCCTCACCCCTGGTTCATGTGCCCTCCTCTAAAAAAAACAAAAAAAACAAAACAAGAAGTCATTTAATAAGTACTGGTAAAGCTTCTTTAGCTTACTTTCTCAAATTTTTGAAAAAAATGATTAATTACTGGATTAAAAAAGTCTCTTCAAGTCACGTGGTTTCCAATTCTAAAGAATTCTATCAAGAAAATTATGAGAAAGAATCCTAAAGTTGACATCTGAAAGATCATTATAATAATTTCTGATGACAGGGGAGCCTGGGTGGCTCAGTGGGTTAGGCCTCTGCCTTCGGCTCAGGTCATGGTCTCAGGTCTCCTGGGATCGAGCCCCACATCGGGCTCTCTGCTCAGCAGGGAGCCTGCTTCCGCGTCTCTCTGCCTGCCTCTCTGCCTACTTGTGATCTCTCTCTCTGTCAAATACATAAATTAAAATCTTAAAAAAAAAAAAAATCTCAGGGCGCCTGGGTGGCTCAGTGGGTTAAGCCTCTGCCTTCGGCTCGGGTCATGATTCCAGGGTCCTGGGATCAAGCCCCGCATTGGGCTCTCTGCTCAGCGGGGAGCCTGCTTTCTCCTCTCTCACCCTACCTCTCTGCCTACTTGTGAGCTCTGTCTGTCAAATAAATAAATAAAATCTTTAAAAAAAAAAATCTCTGATAACAAATCACTATGTGATTTTTGCAAGCCATGTGGAAGAAATGCAAAGAAATGCAAAGAATTCAGTGACAAAACTATGACAAGAGTCCATCTGTTCGTGAAGGCTTATTTACAAGGGTATTTATAAAAATAAAAAATAAAATTACAATTAATGTGGGACTTTGTCATTCTAGAATAAGGAGTATTAACTGATAAATATTAAAATTACATGGGGGGGATCATAGCCCTACTATTTCATTAGGTTGCATCACCAACCAAATTTACATATACATACATACATATACACACACACATATATATATTCATTTTTTATTTTTTAAGGAGGCTCCACACCCAGCATGGAGCCCAACATGGCTTAAACTCATGACCCAGAGATCAAGACCTGAACTAAGATCAAAGAGTTGGACACTTGACTGACTGAGCCACCCAGGCACCCCTTTCTTCCCTTTTTTAAAAAAAAATTTTAATTGAAGTAGAGTTAACATATTAGTTTCAGGGGTACAACATAGTGATTCAACAATTTTCTTTCCATTTTTAAACTTAAATACATACTAGTAATATTTGCAAAGATCATTTGATCAAGAAGAAAAAAAAAGGCTTTGTATTTTCTAAATGACTCTTGGTGAATATCAAAATGCTAAGATATTTTGATCCCGCTGGACACATTTACAAGAGTGATGTAACTGCCCATTTGAAAATGTCAACACTTACCACACACTGAAATTTCTATCTTTTGCAACTATTCCAACCCTTGATTAAAAAAAGTTTATACACCAATTAAAAAATGTGCTCAATATAGCTTTTACCAGAATTCCTTCCTGTGGACCAATTAAACCAAGAAATCAACTTAGTATTACCTTGGGAGAAAAATGACCTTATATTCCTCTTGACAGGATAAAGCAAGAAGCTTACCTCACTACCTCAGTAGTATTCTTGACACATACACAAGGATACTCGAATTCTGATCACAAGAAAGCAATCAGAGCTAGATTATAGAATGTTTTACAAAACAGGTAGCTTCAACTCTTCAAAAATGTCAATGTCATAAAAGCCCTACCCAAAGAGTAATTAAATAAAGACTGAAGAGACACCGCAACTAAATGAAATGTGTGAGCTTTGAATGAATTCTTTATCCAAGACAAAAAAAAAAAAAAAAAAAAAACCAGAAACAAAAACAAAAATACCCAAAATCCAGACTAAAAGGAAATTACTGGGCCAACTAGAGAAATCTGAATATGGACTATCTATCTACTAGATACTGCAATGTTCAATTTCTTACGCTTTATAATCGTACTGTAGTTATAAAGTCCTAGTTCTTACAGAAACACAGCAAATTACTGCTAAGTGTGTCACTCGCACAATATAATAGTTCAGGAAAAAAGGCTTCTTATATATAGTGATAAAGCAAATGTCAGTAACTACTGAATCTACATGAAGGGTATACAAACGCTCATTGTATTATTCTTCCTGTTTTTCTGTAGAGGTGAAATGTTTCCAAATCAAAAGTTGAAAAGAATTCTTCTTTGAAGTTAGAAGAGTCAAAGTTTCAACAGAATGATTCAGATCCTTCCACAAATGATAGATGCTTTTTGTCTTTCAAACCATCCAATAATGGCAATTCATATATAGTTCAATAAAAACTTAATAAAGCTGAATATGAAGGCCTTAGAAAACATAAAAAGCCCAATCTAAGTGATAAGTGGAAGAGCCAGGATTTGGAACTCCAAAGCCCACGTCTGTTCATTCATAATATGCTAATTTTATTACATGGAAACATTTTATTATAGAAATAGGCTTGCTTTTTATCAATTTTTAAAGTTATCCCTACAAAGTTTCTAGAGCCTATCAAAAAGAACCAAATGGACCGCTTTGTCCCCTCCCCCCCCCCAAATAAATCTAGAGAAATTATAGGAGCCACGAGGGAATGAAGGTTCAAGAACCCAGCTACTGTGACTCCCAAACTCTATACATTTTCTCTCAATCATACGATAAATTCATTCTATACTGGCTTTTGTTACTAACGCTCTTAGGATTTCCTACTGGCTAGTCTGCCAAAGAGCATTCCAGAACTGCTCTTTCTTACTGAACTCGCTGGCTCCACCCTGAACTAGATTTGTAGTCTTGGGCAAGTTTCTTAACCTCTTTGAGCCTGCTTCCTCCTCTGTAGAACAGTGATAATAATAATACCCACCTGATAGGAGGGAATATAAGAAAAATGCTTAGCAGAGCACTCAAATTTTTAACCATAGGAACTAGCAGCAGGATGCACACCAGGTCTGGTGAAGCAGTACCACAATAATACTGGCGGCAGGAATATTAGGGTTGAAATCTAGTAAAATTAGAAAGAGGAAGGCTGCTTTTGCTAATCCTGGTTAGCTGAACATGAAACAAGGTTCTGCCTTCTAGATGTACGAATTATGTGTGTTACTACTACTCTATTTCTTTTGATTCATGCTATTTCTTTTGACTTAACTAATCATGGAAGAGCTTCTGATTGTTTTATGGCGATGCTATTAAAACTGGCCAGATGGGATCTAACGTAATGAAAAGCCACTTACTCTGGTGGAGGCATTTTTGAGGGTTCCACGTCCCGCAGGAACTCGCACTGGAGCGCCTGTTCTGCGGTGCAGCGCTTACTGGGATCCAAGGCGAGCATGTAATCAAACAAGTCTAGTGCGGCTGCAGGAATACTGGCAGGAGAGGATGACAGAAGTCATGCATGGTCTCTGACACAAGCTTAGTGTTTCTTTAAGCTGACATTTCATAACATGTTTGCTCTACTTTATTCCAACAAATTCCAAATTTTCCTTTGAAGAAACAGTCATCTTTACATAATTTTTTAAACTACTATTCTAAATAATTTGAAATTTGGCCAACAATGGTGTATCTTATTACTGTTGGAAATTTGCGATTATGCCGTAAATTAAGAACTGAATAGAACAGTTTCCTATAACAAAATAAAAACCTGAGCTCAAATAACATGAAAGTTGCTTCATTAAATGGTGTTCCAGTTCTGTCATGTAAGCTCCAAAGGAAACACACACCCCTAAATCACTGATACCATAATGACAGTGAGATGGTAATTTGCATGTAGCAAAGGGAAACTCAAAAGTTAAGGTCATAGAAGAACTGTGATAGGTCTACCGTGGGTCAATAGAGGACAGAGTGACATTTAGAATTCTTAAAAAATAACTAAAAAAAAAGAAAAAAATTCAATGCGATATGGACACTTAAGCATCCCCTTCTTACAAAACAAATTCTTCTCTTAACTTTCGACGATACTGCTTCTTTGGTTTCATGGTGTTGAAATATGGTAGTTTGATTACATCAGGCCACACTGCAGGACATGGACTCCCACATATACGGCTAAACAACACACAAAAAGAGGTACATCAATATAAACTCCACAGAAGAAAAAAATACAGACAACTGCTATATAAAAACCCCCTCATCCTTCGACACAGAAAAGTTGGGAGTCTTGATACAATATATAAGAAATTTCATCAAATATTTTAGCATCCCAACTTAATTACTTGTTTTAAGGAATCAATTTATTTTCAGTGGATATTTCTAACACTCCAAACATTCCAATTCCTAAAAAGAAAACCTTCACATTTGCAAAATCAAGTCTTAAAACACAGGTAACACTCCAAATATGCCGACCATATCTTGAACCAAGATGAAAAATTTTATGCCAATAAATTAAGGAACCAGAGTGTAGGTTTATGTCTTTCTCTGGTCTTATAGGTACCTGTCATTACTTCTGTGAGAACCGCGGAAACAAATTTCCTACACCCAGGAAGGGAACTATACTGTCATGTCTGCTGCTGCATTCCATCAACAGGAGGACCCTCAAAGTAACACTCTTGAAACACAGAAGTTCTTCAGCTTAAGTAATGCCACTGATTTCAAGGTATTGAGAAATTTTAACTGCTTTACTCTGTGCTTATCTGTAGCTTGAAAGCCCTATTTTTGTACTAACTACTAAGTCCCTGTTACAATAATGTGTAGAGGTAACTCCAGCTGGTAAGCATTTAAAAATTCACTCGCCAATACGTAGATGAAAAATTTGTTAAATATGGTTAACTTGCATATACCGAACCTCAAAAATAAATGTACATTGAACATAAAATCCTCAGCTGATCTTCACATGTGAAGAGGAAGTGTCCATGCATCACCAACTAAAAATAAAAATGTTCTGTACGTAATAAATATAAATGCACCAGTGTGCATAAACAAGGGATGACTAACGTTGTCCAGCCATCCTTTAGCTGAGCTGTAGAACGCTATCTCAGAAACATACATATTTACATAAGACAACTGCTCATCTTTTTAAAGCTATGTCCCTAAAATGTACTTTTTTGGTTTCAACAGAGTTTACGATTTTTGGAAACACAAGCTTCTAAGAAGGTAGTAAGAGCCTATTCTTTGCACACAGCCAGTCTCTTCTTCCTCCCAACTGGATTTTTACAACCTACTCAAAAATACAGTGGCTCCCTTAGGAAATAAGGCTGACCCTGGGTCTCAATCTGCCTTCCAATCCCCAATTCATCTCTCCCCACTGCCCAATCACACTCTTCCATGTCCATGATCAAATTCTCTCTCCCTAGATTCTAACTAGTGGAGAATCTTTCCATTGCTCAAGATTCAGATCAAAGGTAATCCATTCAGTGCAGTCTTCTGTATCCCCATGGCCTATCAGAAGGGTCCCTTCGCATTCTACTTGTTTCTTTGGACACTTTTTCGTATTTCATGCTGCTCTGGATCTTGGATGACCTGCCCGTTTCGCTCACCAAAGCGAACCATGTCTCTCACGGTTTTGTGTACTTCTCCAAGTAAGTATATAAATATAAATAATCCCTGGCAGACTGATGTGTTATTACAGAAGTAGGAAGTTCACTGCAATTTTTAAAAATGAAGGATACTTTCAACGGCAGAAATACAGGAACATGGGGGAGAGGGAGTCAAGATGGCGGAGAAGTAGCAGGCTGAGACTACTTCAGGTTGCAGGAGATCAGCTAGATAGCTTATCTAAAGATTGCAAACACCTACAAATCCAACAGGAAATCGAAGAGAAGAAGAACAGCAATTCTAGAAACAGAAAATCAACCACTTTCTGAAAGTTTTTTTTCTCTTCTTCTGCTAAATTTTTTTAACTTTTACCCTTTTCTTTTTTAACGTTTTTTAACTAGTTTATCTAATATATATATTTTTCCTTTTTATATTTTTTCATTATTGGATTTCTTTTTTTATTTGTTTCTTTTTTCTTTTTCTTTTTTTTTTTCTCTTTCTGAACCTCTTTTTATCCCCTTCCCCCCTTCCCCCCTCACGATTTGGGATCTCTTCTGATTTGGCTAAAGCATATTTTCCTGGGGTTGTTGCCACCCTTTTAGTATTTTACTTGTTCCTTCATATACTCTTATCTGGACAAAATGAAAAGGCGGAAAAATTCACCACAAAAAAAAGAACAAGAGGCAGTACCAAAGGCTAGGGACCTAATCAATACAGACATTGGTAATATGTCAGATCTAGAGTTCAGAATGACGATTCTCAAGGTTCTAGCCGGGCTCGAAAAAGGCATGGAATATATTAGAGAAACCCTCTCAGGAGATATAAAAGCCCTTTCTGGAGAAATAAAAGAACTAAAATCTAATCAAGTTGAAAT